CCGGTAGAGCAGGATTGCTAGAGTTGCCAACTCTTTAAAGCAGATTGTCAATTTGTGGGGGAGGGGGAGGTGCAGCTCAATTTTCTGTTGGTCCAAACTGGCCGCATAGTCCATCCCCAGCAAAGTTCATTCGCAATCACTGCACTCTAATCGCTTACTGTTTAGCGCCTTGGGACGTCCCCCCGACGTGAAAGGCGCTTTACAAATGTAATTTTATATTGTATTGTACAGTGAATCCTGTGAAGTGCTTTGAGGCATTTGGACAACGTGATAAGGCGCTATATTAAGTGCAAAGATTAGGTAGGATTGTTTTTATTATAAGCTTGCTTTTCACACTGCAGATCTCTCCTAGGTAGCAGAAGTGCCTGGAGCTCTGAGTCTTGTAAACTAGATTACCTAATGAACTCAAAGGTGCAGAGATCGTAGAAATCCAGAACCGGAGGTGGCTGTTTGCTGGCGAGTATCCCATCTCTTTCTCCTCCACATTTGCTGCAGCACTTGTGAGACTGAGGGCGACACTATTACTGATTTGTTCTCTAGAACACAGGTACTCTGCACGTCTTCAGTGCTTCCAGAAAACTTGAACAACCTCTGTGACTGGTCAGTTATTTTAGGATTCATTAAGTTCATTTTTGTATTATTGTTATTACACCATCAGCAAAAAGAATATCTCAAAATACACAGCAAGGTCTCTGCACTTTCAACAGCTCTTAAAGCTTCTCGCTTTTGAAACGTTTGCCTTCGAACATTGTACATAAAGAGAGTAAATAGATATCGTACTTCAATTTAATTTGCCGATTTATTTGCTATATCTTATTAATACGCTTATTGTTCAAAAAAAAAGGCAGGATATTAAATTGAAGCGTTGCCATAGGAGTGATGGTGGAATAGGCTTAATGGGTCGAATAACCTACTCCTTTTCCTGTGTTGGTCCTGTAATTGGTTTATGGAAATCCAGCATGTTTGTCATTGAACACAGAGCCATACAGGGTCATTTGAACTCAGCTGGAAGTATCTGTGCCTGAAAGTAATCTCTGACTATGTAGAGAGTTGGCTTGCTGCAAAGCTGGTATGTATCTTTGAAGCCACATGTGAGGAATGTCGGAAATTCTCACTGAACGGTACATATAGTACTTTGCACTGTCTCCACTGGGGGAAAAACACATGTTTTTATAGCCCGTTCTTGTTTGTGTTTCTTTGAAAAGCAGACAGATGGGGGCACAGTATTCAATATTTTCTTGTTTTTTTGTTGTTGCCAAATTCTGCACAGCCGTCTGCATTTTCCATAAGCCTTTATTGGTCTAGATATAATCTAAATAGCGGGAAGCGTTTAGGGAGCTGTTTTGATGTGCAAAGCACTGAAGGATCCTTTTCTGCACTCCACTGCGAAATTTGTCAGAGTTGGAGGATTGAGAGCGTTGAGTGGAGCTCTTGACAGGGGCCTCCCTTGTGCAGAGTCGCTGGCTGTAATTTAACAGAGTAATTTTTTTACGAGGTTTGTGGTAAAAAGGCACGGAGGTACACTGTGTGCTTCAGCCAACTCCGAGCAGTAAAGAAGGTCAGAGACTGTTTACATGAAGATTTTTGGAATTCCGGAGTTGGCATGAGCTCTCCCAACAGTAAGCTCGAGATTTTCTGGTTTATATGAAAACCCTTCGACTGGGATAAGGCGCTGGCTGTGAACAGGGCCTTGATTTATCATTAGCCGCGTCCCCGAGAGAGAACGTTAATTTGATGTACAGGTTTTGGCAGCAGGTTCCAATTGATTGAGCCCTTATTTTTTCTCCTTCTTCTGGTCGATTGAACTATCTGTCAGTAGACCCATGTCTTAGTACAGCTGTGAAAGAGGAGAAGGTGAAGGTAGAGACTGCGGACGGCTGCAGATCCGAACATCAAAAGTAAAACACGTACACACACATATTCCCGATGAAGAGTTCATGCCCAAATTGTAGACATTTTTCTCTTCCAGATAATGCTTTATCTGGTGTGCGTTTTCAGCATTTTATTTTAAATTTAATTTGAAGTCGCAGTTAACTCGTGTGTGTGTGTGTGTGTGTGTGCGCGTGTGTGTGGTCTATGTAAATGTGCGGTGTGCATGTTTGCATGTGTATGTACACAAGTGTCTGTACATGTGTATATATGGTGCGTGTGTCTGCGTGTGTTTTTCTGTGCTTGTTTGTATATGCACACTTAAAAATACTTTGCACTCATTTTTATTTTTAATTATGACGTGAGTTTCAAAAATTAAGAAACTCCTGAATCTGGAGGCTCCTTTCACCCGGTCGGGCGGGCGGGTGAGTAGAGCAGTGCTTGGTTTGCTTTGCTTTGCGTCAAGCTGTTGCCTGGCCCCTGTCTTCTCCATCTCTCGCGCTCTCTCTCTCTATTGTCTGTCCTCACCGTGTGAAGCAGTGTTTTCATGCTGTGCTCGTCTTTTATGTTCTCCTCAAACTCTTCCCTGAATCCTGGCCTTTCTTCGAGCTCCGTCGTTGCTGCAGAGCACAGCGCGGTACCAATCGGATGGCTTTGCTCCCAGCAGGAGCGAGCCAATGAAGTGGTTGCTCTCGCCCGGCAACGTGAAGGCCTGAAGGGAAATGCTTAAACAAAGGCTTTCACTGCAGACAAATGTTAAGTGTCTGCGCTAACCCTCCGTCTTCTCAATTTTATTACGCTTGCACAGAAAAGGGCTTCCTTGTTCCTTTCTCTCTCGAGCTCCTAAAGCCCTTTTTAGGAAATTTTAATTATACATTTGTGTCTCGTCCCTCTTCTGCCACAGCTGCTCTGCTGCAGCCAGTTCCGACTGAAACTAACAATCTCCTTTCCCCAGATGGGGAGGAGGGGAGCGAGAGAGAGAGAGAGAAGCCCTCTGGCGATACAAATACATTACAGTGTTGTAAATATTGTTGACATGTTCAAGAATTTAAAGCGGCTGAAAGGTCTCCCATAATCATAGGTAGGATTCTGAGAGCAGGAAAGGGCAAGGAATGAGAGAACTGCTTGTTTTTATGTATTTTCCAGATGTGAATTTGCCCGCTCCCCACTCCCCGATATATTGGGGGGAGGTGACACACATTACTGTTGTGCTGTTAACAGTCTGCGCCTGATCTGTTTGCGTTCTCGCGCAATGCCAGTCGGAGATAAGAGCGCACTGGCGTCAGGAGCTTTCACTGTAATAGTCGTTTCTCATCACTCGGGGGAATTAAACCACAGAATTGCCCAGTTTACCAGGCTCTGGGAACCTGGGCCCTGTTTCGGTCTATATGACTGTAAATCGGGCTCTTTGATTATTTTTTGTCGGTTAAGAAAGCAGCCAGTCTAGCTTGAAGCACTGTCTTCAAGCTAGACTGGCCAAGCCTCAGACCATTAGTACGGAGGACCTCAGCTCAAAACACATTTGCATTGCTCTAAACTAAAAACAATACGCTGAAGGCAAACGTTATAATGTGTCAAATATTTTGATCGGTTTACTTCAGGCTCCGCATTTCCAAGGGATTTGTAATACAGGAAGCTGGTTGTCGTTTGTGTTTTGTTGAGATTTGACCTCTTTTTTCTTAAAAAAATTATAATTCCCTGCGTCCATATTTCTGGAGCTGGGAAAACACTGAGTTGCAATGAAGCTGATGTTTGTGTTTCAGAGTCTTTGTGTATCAGAACCCTATCGTTTCCTCAGGGAGAAAATTAACATTGAGTGGCGAAGGGGGATGCGAGAAATGTTCCCAAATACAACCTAATAAGACATAATGCGGGGATGATTTGCAATTCTAATTTAGTAGACACGGACTGTGTAAATGGCTTTGCTATAAGGTGGTCAGACAGGAGAGGGGCTTCATGTAAAAATTACTGTCGATCGTGCAAAAGCCAGCCTGGTACACGGTGCACGGAACGAAAAAAATGTGATTCCCAGGGGAGCGTTCAGAAACCATTGTGAAGAAGATAAAGTTCACGTTGACTGCTATTTAATCACTCCGGCAGAATTGTGCATAATGGCCACTCACCCATGCACAATTTTAAAACCTTGCTTTTAAAGAGGAGATGTTTTGTATTGTCTGTTTTGCGTGCAAGAAGCTAGCAATTTGTGCTGAATGTGTTCTCAAGACCATTTCCAGCCAATCTACCCCCCCCCCCCCCCCCCCCCGCCATTGATTTTCCTTAAAATGAAGAGCCCACTGATGACCAGGTGGAGACCACAGACAAGAAAGACCTCGGCAAAAGTAACCTAGGCAACTCATTCAAATCTTCATCTCTCTCCTTCCTCAGCCTGCCCCTGCCCCCACCCTCCCAAGAAAATGCTTGAGCAAGCAGTGTAAAGCTCTTTGACACGTCCTTGAAAGGTGTTGTACCTTATCAATGTAAATTTGTTGTAATTGCTGTTTTGAAAGGAATTTTAAGCTGATGATTTTTAAAAAATATTATTTCAACCCCCACCCCCCATTGAAAAAAAACCTTGCTATCAGTTAATCTCTGAAACACAAAAAATCCCCAAACATTATTTTCCCCCCTCCCCCCCCCGCGAATAAAAATCCTACACAAATATTTTCTACTCCCCCTGTATAAAAACATTTCATAATTGATTCTCTCTTCCCCCTCTGATTCCCGAGTTTAGAAAAGAAACCTTCCTTCACAGATTGTTCCTGGTCAGCTCAGAAGCAGCTTTGAGTTCTGCCGACTGGCTCAATGTGCGCTGGCGGTTTGCCAAGAAAAAGCAATTACGTGTAATAATAGCAAAATTAAGAGGCGAGTGTTGCCGTTTTACAGCAGGACGTGGCAAGAACCATTTCCTTCTGTCAGTCGTATCTCGATTACACACTAAGAAAACAATTTCCTGTTGGTCTTGACTTGAGGTCAGCGAAGCCAGAAAGAGGATGAATGCAGACCGCAGCTTTAGTAACTGATGAGTGTAAAGCACGCTGCCAGAACAAAAGGAAGCGAGACTCCCTGATGCAGGGATGATTTTTTAAAGTGTAAAAATGCATTGTATTTTTATTCCCTCTCGTCGTATGCAGGTGTTCTGGTGGTAAACGTGACTTGGCGGAATAAGACCTATGTGGGAACGTTACTGGACTGCACGAAGCACGACTGGGCCCCTCCTAGGTAAGGGAACGTTACGGCTATTTTCCTGGTGGGAGGGGAAAGATGTGTGAAATCACGATGCCTGAAAATCCCTCTTTGATCTTAGCCTTTAGACCTTTTCTTAAAATTTCCACGATTGTGTGGAACTGGGGAAAATAGATCATTTGACCTTAATCTGGAAGCTGGTTTCTCCTGAAAGAACTTTGGGGACTGACTTCTAAATGAAGACCGAATTTAAGGATTTCCCCAAATTTTGACCAACCTTAAATTTTAAGACAATGGTCCTAAGGCTAAAACCAATGAGGAATTTTGAACTTCTGAAGCCTAATTAAGCTTTGAAGAGCTTTCTAAAAAAACTATCCCTTTGTCGTTTCACCTCAACCTCCCACTCTTGTCTCTCCTCCTCCATGCACAAAGTAGCTGTTGTTCTTACCGAAGGCAAATTGGAGGAAAAGCTGCCCCGGTTTTGAGTCCTAAAATTGAATCAATGTTTTCTTCCTAGGTTTTGCGAATCGCCTACAAGTGACCTTGAAATGCGAGCGAGTCGAGGCCGGGGGAAGCGGGCACGCTCAGCTGCAAACGTTCCGATGAATGACGCCAGCTTCACGGAGTCCAGGGGCGTACAGAACAAAAACCGAGGCGGCGCCAACGGCAAGGGGCGCCGGGGCAGCCTGAACTCGAGCGGCCGCAGGACACCCCCAAACTGCACCATCGAAGAGGTGAAAGCCATTCCCTCACCCGCCAACAAGAGGAAACACAAGCCCCCAATGGAACTGGACCTGAACTCCAGCTCCGAGGAAACAAAGTCTGGGAAGCGGGTCCGCACGAACTCCAGAAGCACTCCAACCACTCCCCAGGGCAAGCCCGAGGCGAGCTTCGTGGACCAAGGCTGCTCCTCCCCAGTGTTGATCGACTGCCCCCATCCGAACTGCAGCAAAAAGTACAAGCACATCAATGGGCTGCGTTACCACCAGGCCCATGCCCACCTGGATCCCGAGAGCAAACTGGAATTCGAGCCTGACTGCGAGGACAAGATGTCTGACTGCGAGGAGGCATTGAGTAGCGTGGCCATAGGCGTGGAGCACGGTGAACTGAGAAACGGCGCCCTGCTCGCCGGGGGTTCGCTGGGTTATGACCAGATGAAGGCTCCTGTGTCGCCCATCTCCGCCAGCACCCCGGGCACCCCAAAGGGGCGTAAGGACTTAGCAAATAACGCCCAGAGCCCAATAGTTAACTCTAAAACTGGGAAGAACTCCAGCAAAAGGAAGGGTCTCATCAACAGTGACTTGAACAACCTGCCCGTCATCTCCAACATGGCGGCTGCTTTGGAAAGTTGCTTGGTTCCCGACGGGGTCTCTGTCACAGAGATGCCCAAGCTTGAGGTGGAGGGGGTGATAGACAAGAAAAACTTAGGGGACAAGGAAAAGGGGAAGAAGTCCAGCAATGGGAAAATGGATAAATCGTTACCAAAGCCTAAAACAACCAGACCAATAGCCCCCGCCCCTCCACCGCCACAGTTGATAGCCATCCCCACGGCGACATTCACTACCACCACCACGGGGTCACTACCAGGGCTGTCGTCGCTCACCACCACCGTTGTCCAGGCAACACCAAAGAGCCCACCACTGAAACCCATCCAACCAAAGCCCACCATCATGGGAGAGCCCAGCACAGTCAACCCAGCCTTGTCCTCGCTCAAAGACAAGAAGAAGAAGGAGAAGCGGAAGCTGAAAGACAAAGAGGGCAAAGAGTCGGCTAGCCCCAAGATGGACTCGAAGCTGGGCAAGGCGGAGGAGTGCAAGGCATCTGCTAAAGATCTGGCTGCACATTTTTTGAAGGATCACCTCAGCAAGAGCGAAGTACTGGCCAACGGTCTCTCCGACTCGCAGGAGAGCCGGATGGCGAGCATCAAGGCCGAGGCGGATAAAGTTTACACGTTTACGGACAACGCTCCCAGCCCTTCCATAGGGAGTGCCTGCAGGCTGGAGTGCAGCAACATGGTCAATGGACAGTCTCCCCTGACGCCGCTGCACGTTCTGACGCAGAACGGGGGCGATGGGACCACGGCCAAAACAAACAGCCCCGCTTACTCGGACATTTCAGACGCTGCCGACGACGGGGGCTCTGACAACAGGTCAGAGGGCCTGAGCTCTAAGATTATTTCCCCTGCGGACGTGGCTTCCGCCAAGGAAACAGTTGTGAAAAGTCATTCCTCAGCCTCCTTGCAGCCCGCACAGAGCAAAGAGTCCCATTCCCCTTTCTACCATGGATACGAGCCTTACTATTCCCCTGGTTACATGCACCCCAGTCAAGTCAGCAGCTCCACAGCCGGGAACTGCACAGCCCCCCAGAGCGTCAAAGTGAAGAAAGAGTTGGAGGAAGAGATAGAAAAGAAGGAGAAGGCGGAGATATTAGAAATGAAGAAGAGCGATAGTGTTACTGGGAATATTCAGGCCCAGCATCAGTCTGTTATCACACAGAGACATCCAGCGCTTGCTCAGTCGCTCTACTACGGGCAGTATGCGTACGGACTATGTTACGTCGACCAGAAGTCGATCATGACAAACTCTTCTTACAGGCAGCAGTACGAGAAGTTCTACGAAGAGCAGCGGTACGCGGAGCAGAAACTGCAGGGGATGATGGGGAGAGATGGGGAAAGGAAAGGGGACGGGCTGCATAAGGAAATGGGAAAAGAGGACCTTAAGCAGAAAAACATTCCCTCTGCTACAATTTCCAAAGCCCCTTCGACCCCGGAGCCCCACAAGAGCAGTAGCTCCAAAGCTAAAGATCCTTTCATGCTGTCAGAACCCTCGAAGTCTGGGGTGTTGAACAAGCCAGAGGAGGCTGGTAAATTGCAGATGCAGGCAGCACAGCAGCAACTGTTGGCTGATGGTTTTAAAGCCAAACAACTGGAAAATCACCAACTTATCAAGGAGGCAGTGGAAATGAAGAGTGTCATGGACTCCATGAAACAGACAGGGGTGGACCCTACAGTACGTTTCAAACAGGTATGTGATTTACACTGTCCACCAACAGCAGAGTGGGAAATAACCAAGTACTTTTACTTTCTTTGACAACCATTTCATTTATTTATTTATGCTGCAGTTCTACATAAATAACTTTTTTAAACAAAACACCCAAAGGGTCATGCTTTTTTTGTGCTAAGTTAGTTAGGTTTTGTCGCGGTTTGTAGATTTGGGATTTGTAGACATGTCACCAAAAGGTAAATATTAACCTTTCACTCACACACACATACAAACTGCATGGCGCTTGAAGTTGTACATTCAACAGACTTGGAGAGAGTTTACAATCCCTCCATATCAGTGGCATTCATAGCCATTTAAGGCATTAACTGTATTGCACTGTTACACAAGGTAAATAACATAGAACAGGAATGGGTTATTTAGCCCATCATGCCTATTCGTAGGAGTCCTGAAGCTCAGTGGTTAGAGCACTCGCCTCACAAGCGAGAGATCTGGGTTTGATTCCCGGGCGAAACCTTGGGCAAGTTTCCTTACTCCACACTCTTGATAATAAATAATCCCTCAAGAAAAAAAATACGATAATAATTTGGTCACTCAATCCACGACTGTTTGTGGGACACTGCTGTGCGCAATTGGCTGCCGCGTTTCGCCCACAAATATACAATCAATTCACTTTACAGTATATTCTGTGAAGCGCTTTGAGACGCCTAGAGGACTTGAAAAGCGCTATATCAAATGCACAGATTTTTATTATTTATTCATAGCAACTCTTTTTCTTTTTAAATCCCATTTCTTCACCCATTAATGTCATTGCTTCCCAAGTACCTGGCAAATTTCAGATTCCACAGAACTTTAGAAAATAGTCTTAAATTCAGCCCAACTTTGGAAACTGATTTTCTGCAGTGCCCAAAAACACCAATAATATTGGCTTCCAACTTAAGACTGAATTTAAGACTTCTCTAAAATTTCATACCATGTTATCTTTTAAAACAAAGGCCTTAATAAGCTCAAGGAAATTAGGTATTTCAGACACTATATTCTTATACCCTCTGTTTGAAGAAATATTTTCTCATATGGACCCTTTTTTGTGAACGTAAAGAGCAACAGCAACAGTTTGCATTTATATAGTGTTCTTCATGTAGGATAATGTCTCGGAGCGCTGGAGATTAGACATTGGGGTTATAACGCTGGCTTTGTTGCGTTATTATAATATGATTTGTGGCACACAACGGAAACTTTGTGTCAGCCAGCAGCGCAAAATGACCTCTGAAAATTTCTGCCCCTGTGGTGCTTTCCCTTGTTCTGTGTGGGAGAGCTCCACAAGTGCACATCAGCTTTTAGCAGACTGCTCATCTCAAAGCCTAGATTTTGCCTTTCGGTGCAAATAGGAATTTGAGTATTATCTCTTCACTTTCAAACACACTGTGCGCACCAGTGTAAAGTTGTCCATTCAGCAAAACTAGGAGAAAGTTTATGGTCCCCTCCGTATAAATTATGCTTGCGGCCGTTTATGAAATGAACTGTATTGCACACTCCTGTTTGCGACTTTTACTTGGTCCCAAGCACATTGCAATACCTTCCCCTTTAATAACTGAGTCAGTTATTAAAGGGTAAGGAATGTCCGGAGGGAATATTTGCTTTTGAAATATTCCTACTAGAGATCGAATAAAACTTATTTCTCAGTTCTTTCCCAGGAGGGAAGAATAATCTCCTTAGCCCTAGTCGATCTGGGACTTTGTACCAGGAAAGAGACCGGTTCAGATATTGAGTTGTTAGGTGACGTCCTTCAGCAGGAGTGCAACTATTAGCTGCAGGGCCCGGGTTCAGAGAGAGGAACATCAGGCAGGTTTACGGCATCAGTGAGCCCTACTGGGAGCTCTCAGAAATGCCTTTGGTGGGGGGGTGGGGAGGTAGGGGGAGAGAGAAGTAAATCTCGAAAACAAATCTTGCATAGAATTATGTAGAGTATATTGCATGGACACAGCCACTCGGCCCTAGACTGTGCTGTTGTTCCCACACAAGTCCTCACCCCTCATTTATCCCCTTATCTACACATCACGTTTTCAAGAGGTAATAAATACATTGCTGCTTTTTGCTTCAACCACAGCTTCTAACAGTGAGTTCTACATTTTCAGTCTAGTAGTAACGAGGTTCCTTCTAAACTCCCTGTTAGATCCACTATATAAGCTGTCTTGTATTTAAAATCTGCCACATGTCTCCCCAGCATGGTGTAATATGGTGAGGGAAGGGTTAATGTGGATTGTTTTTCTAGACATTTGAGCAGATCTCAGGGAGATCCTTCTAGGTATGAAGTCCTGAAGCATTTGGATAAGCATGTTTCCTCTATAGAGTTAGTCACCCACACCTTAATAGATAAAAAACCTGTGTATTTAATGGTTTCAGACACTGTTGTATCTATAGCTGCTGGTTTAGTGTGCACACAAGGTAATAAATCTGTGCAGTAAAACTGTGACTGAAGGAAAGTGACACGTGTTGTAATTGTACGTAGGAGCCAGATCCGAGGGCTTGGCACCATTATGTTTACCAGCCCAAGTACATGGAGCAGCAAAAAGCAGAGGAACTTGAGCGGGAGAAAAAGCAAAAGGAGGACAGTCCGATGAAGGCACCGAGCAAAGAGGGAACGATCTCCAGCTCCAGCATTCCCATCCCGATAACCAACATCAAAGAGGAGCCCAAAGAGGCTAAACGGCCAGAACCCCAGACACTCACAATGGAGGAACACAAGAGCAAATCTGATGAGCGTAAGACGCCCATTAGTGGCAAGGACTCTAGAGGAGCCCGAGTTGCGGTCTCATCACCAATGAATCAGCATCAGTCTTACATTCAGTATCTGCACGCTTATAATCCTTATTCCCAGATGTACGACCCAACCTACCGAGCAGTATCTCCAGTGCTAATGCACAGCTACCCAGGTACGTGCTTCTGCTGTTTGTGTTTTTTTTGTGTTCAGCTGGATGTCTTGACACATGTTGAAACTCATCACCATGCTTGAGGTCTTAAGATGCACTGAGAGATGCACTATGCCACCCACAAATGGAAATTCCCATTTGTCGAATGGAATGCGTACACTCTGCCTGGAAGGACCCACCTTACTTATCTAATGCCAGATAATTATTAGGCGCACGTTGGCAAAAGCCAAGGCTTGGGGCTCCAGAAGGGTTCTACTGGAGTTTAACCAGTAAAAGCTGCTTGGCTTGCCTTTGAAAGCACTGCCTCGCAAGCTTTTCCGTTGCTTGGAACCTTCCTAAGTGTTAAGAAGGAGGTGAAAGTGCTTTTATAAAGAATGCTCTTTATTTCTCCCCTATTAATCTCCATTATTATAGCATCATGTCCATTATTGTAATATGCGACAACCAAGATGGACCTTGGTCCTTTTTCCTATAGCAATGTAACCAGAAGGAAGTAAAAAGGCTTCAACTCTCATCCATTTATCTCCTCAGGGGCATATCTCTCTCCAGGCTTTCACTACCCAGTGTACGGGAAGATGGCCAGCCGAGAGGAAACTGAGAAATCCAGCCCAAGTCCCAGTGTGAGCAGTAAACCAGCGGCTGAATCCAAGGCTCTGGACCTCCTTCAGCAGCACGCCAGTCAGTACCGCAGCAAGTCTCCGGGGGTAAGTAGGGGGGCCACGGTCCTGCCAAGATCTTTTAAGCTTGGATTCACTGCACAGGCGATAGGCTTGCTTCATCATAAAAATTCAGCACTGCAATAAACTCCGGCATAAATCTGGTAATTTATAATTGGCTTTGACACTGTGTCATGCATGTTTTGCCACATTTGTAAAACTCTGAAGACAAAGGCATACACAGTGTGTGCTAGAAATAAAAGACAGGCTCGACATAATCAATTATTAACACCCAGCTTTTCTTTTATTCCCAGTTTATTTTTGGAAAGCCATCTGAAAACACAGTTTTGGAGACGGCTTTTTTTTTTCTAAGTGTTTTTTTGTTTTGAAACAAAATGTAAGCGAGGCTCCACAATGGCGAACAGCTGAACCACAGCAGGAATCGACGATTCCTCTGTTTGAGGTTTCCAGCATTGTTGCAAGATATTTGAGCACCCCCTGCAAGGAAAAAACAGAGTTAGCATGAATTACTGACTCAGGAGCGATCCTAAATATGCAAGGCTTAGAGGAGGCTGCAGTTGGGGTTGTTCTGTTCAGTTCAGGGTGCCCCATTATAGAACGGACTTCACAGTGTAGATTTATTGAGCTGATAGAAGTGGTTATAGTGAGGAGGGCAGACTGCAAAATGTTGTTTTTATGGTAGCTGAGAAGATTGAGAGTGGAATATGCTAAATATGCTAAAGGCCTTCAAAATTCTGAAGGGTTTTGAGAGGTCAAACAGTGAGAGATTATTCTTGCTGGTTACTGAATCAATAACAAGGGGCATTAGCTCAGGATTGCCACCCGAGTTAAGGGGCAAGTCAGAAGGAATGTTTCTCACAGAGGGTTGATAGGACTTGGAATCTGTTGCCACAGGTTGCTACTGAAGCTAAGACTGTAATAGCATTTGCAAAGCAATTAAATGTGTTTGAGCAACAATATGGAAGAGGGGATGGGGTGGAGGAAATGGCAGAAAAGTGGGACTGGAGCAGACAGCTCAATGGGTTGAATCGCATCCTGTGTTATAATTTCTTTTGATTCTGCGTTCCCAATACTCCTTTAGCTTCTTATTCAAATAAAAGCTGTAATTTATATTTATTGTTCCGCCGGGAGAAAAACTCACAAGCCAATATTTGGCTTTGTGATTCCGTTTGCGAGCGTCCTGTTTTAAGTGGCTCGTTTTAATCCAAGCATAAGAGCTAAATGATTGATACTTGGTGCAGTGAGTTGGAAATGGCAATTTATATTGTAATCAGTCTAATTCTAGAGAAACGCACAATTCCTAATGCGTGTTTTTTTTGCCTTTTTGTAGCCGGCCGAAAAGGCTCCTCCTGAGCGGGAAAGAGACGCCGAACGGGAGAGGGAACGGGAACGCCATTCGCCTTTTGCACAGCGGCACGTTCACACGCACCACCACACGCATGTCGGAATGGGTTATCCGCTAATCCCAGGCCAATATGACCCATATCAAGGTACTAACTCAACCCGACCATCTTTATTTCACCCACAAAATATACAGTCAATTCACTTTACAGTATATTCTGTGAAGCGCTTTGAGACGTCTCGAAGACTTGATAAGGCGCTATATCAAATGCAAGGATTATTATTATTGCTGTACATAAAAAAAAGATTGAAAACAGCATCAGCAATCCGGGATGTACCTGCTTATTTGTGGGTACGTATCCCGCAGCTTAAGATGTGGCCATGTTTTGTGCCCACTTTGCATTGACATTAACAAATGATCAATATCTGTTGCTGCAAGTAAACCTTTTATTCCTCGTTGATTCAAATCGTTTTACGATATGAACTCGAGAGCTCAAGGCTGTTATACTTTGTGGTTTTGGTGCAGCACGGTGTCACAGTATGTCGCTAAACGAATAGGTGGCGCCACCAAATGATGGGCCATTTGCTTACTTATTTCCCATGCCCCCACCACTTCTTTGAAAATATCTGACCTGCTGTGGAGCAGCATAGAGCCAGTAGGGATGCTCTGGTGGGCGGCTGTTGAACATTTCCTCGGTACCTGTTTATGAACAAGAGTCGCCATTTCCCACGATTTCTCATTTTATAAAGCCACCGGTCAGGATTAAAACAGCCATGGCACCAAGAAGATTGCCGGGTTGGTGCTATCATGTAAACTGATCTCTGGCAACGATGTTTTAAATGGCTTCAGGGCCTCTGCGACGGGGGAAACATTGGCCAGAGTTGCAATTGGCTGGCTGATGCCCATAAACCCTTAGCTCAGCGTTCAGTCATTTCCTTTAGGAAGAAGATAGGGGAGAATTCACAAAAACGACTGTTGTGATTGCCTGGAGCTTGTTCCTTTCACCACAAATGGCGTGTGGCGGGAGTAGGGAGGGATAATGAGTGCATACTTTGCTAGGAATGTAATGTTCCGTCAATTGTTTTTTTTATTATTTTCTCTTCTGGGCTTCTGACCATTCAGACTTCAGACGAACAAACTTTGCTTTGACTTTGATGGAATTCAGATGTTGTTGAATCTGGAAGTAATGCAGACAATGTCTTTTGATCATCACTATTTGGGACAGGGAAGGAGGGCAGGAAAGGCTTCACCAGCGAGTGCTATAAATGCAATAGCTGCTTTGGGATTAGTCGATACGCCCGGGTAATGACTTCAAAGTATAACATTTCTGATAATGAGCAATGTAGATCCAATGTTACTACACTGTCTTTCTCATATAGTCTAGGGGCTGGCACTTTAACATTGCATCGTCAGAGGTGCAATCCTTCGGATAAGACATTAAACCAAGGTCCTGTCTGCCTGTTCATGCGGTCATTAAGGATCCCATTGCACTACTTGAAAGTGAAGGCAATTTCTCCCGGTGTCCTGGCCAATAATTCCCCAAATAAAATTGGTCATTCACTTCATGACTCTTTCTGTAACATTACAAATTGACTGCGCTGTTACACCTACAAAATACAATCACTACACTTTACACAGAATCCTGCGTAAGCACGTTGAGACACGATATCAAATGCAAGCATTGTTGTTGTTATTGTCATTATTATAATAATAATTATAATATAATATTAGTCTTATTGATGTTGCTGATGCAGATTAACGTAGGCAGATGTTTACCTACGTAAGAATAATCACTTCCAATTATTCTCATTTCGTGAGATAAATAATAAAAAAACTTGCATTTGATATAGTGTCTTATTGCATCATCGAGGCATCTCCAAGTTCTTCACAGGAATTTACTGTGAAGTGTAGTGACTGTGTATTTGTAGGCAAAAGCAGCAGCTTAGTACTTTGACATGCTCTTTTACATGACAACTGTTGTTGCTGAGGGATGCTGAAGTTTTAACCAAGTTTCCCCTCTTTTCTGTCCTTTCTTCAATTCTCTCAGGGCTGACCTCCGCTGCCATTGTTGCTAGTCAGCAGGCGGTTGCACAGGCTTCTGCATCAGGCATTTATCCTGCACAAAGAAGGTAAGGTTTTTTTTCAGATGACATCTTAAGCAACTCTGTCACTTGAAGCCCCAAAATTCCACCTAGTCTAAGCCTGTGAAGCCAGTCTGCTATAACATTGCAGAGAATTGTAGATAATTACTAAATTCAGTCTTGATTTGGAAAACAGTGAAGAAACAACTTTCAAATTAAAGAATTTTGCAGAACGTCTACATTGATCTTAAATTTTAAGACCGAACGAATGGTTTTGCGAAACATGGCTAGGTAGAATTTCGGTTCTTTTGTGTTTCTGTGTTAAAAACAATTTCTTCCTTGATGCTTTATTCTATTTCTCCTGCAACATGCTCCCCTCGTTTCCTGTTGGCATCAATGCTAGCTTGGGGCTCCCATTGGTGCCCACAGCCTGTGTTAGCTTATAGTGAAGGGGTTTGCACAACTGAACCCAATCCCAGGCCCACAAAACCACACAGTCTCAGCCTGTAAGACCATGTTCTCTTAACATTTGTCCCTGTGCAAAATTGTGGGGAAATTCTTATATTCACTGTTAATTTGGAAGTTGTTTTTCTGCAGCAGAGAGGTCCTGACCTGCTTCCAAATTAGGCCTGATTTTAAGAATTTTCCACAAATCTGCACAATCTCAAATTTTAAGACAAAATGGTTGTAGTGGAATTTCAGGGCTCCTGTTTCCACCCAACATCCAATTTCCAAAAATCACTATATTATCTGCACTGCCAGCTAAAGTGAAATCGGCAGACTCTGGACAGACCAGTGATCGTCAGTACAGGATTGGATTGGGCATGCACACGTGTGTGTGTGTGTGTATGTGTATACACGTGTATGTGTGTATATATATATATATTATAAATACACGCACATATATATATATATATATACACACACACAGACGCACGTGTATATATACATACACACACACAGACATACTGATATCCAACCGCATTATAGTGTGAGTGTGTTTATAACCCGGGTAGATTGTGGATCGACACTGTACCATGAGAATGGTCGCTGGCTCTGTCAGCGATGGCCATTTTTATTTTGCAGACTTGTTAGACCACTGTGTCCAATCTTATCAATCCAAAACACGGAATCATACTATATAAATAAACAACACGCGCACATATACACACACTATTATCTGCTGACGTTCACTGTCTAGGCTCCTGTACAAAGAATGACCATTTCTCGAGGACAAAGTACTGAAGCACCAGAGGGTGACCGGCATTTTCAGCACCACATTCCAGTCAGTTGTTACTTTCAGTCAGTACCTTCTGCACAGGTGTCGGTTTAAAAAAAACGTGAAGGGGGATGGGATAGATGACAAGAAACAAACTAGTTTCAATGTCAAAGTGGATCAGTAGCACGCTTTCTAATCATTGTGGCTTGTTCTCTTACAGGGAGTGATGGCAACCCGATTGTACATCAAAATCATAATCATGTGACTGGCTCACATGAAGAAGAGGTTTATACAGACATCAGTTCCATGGTGTTAATTTCAAATGCCTTGATGTCAGGCAGAACCAGTCATTTCATATTTGTAAATTGCAAATTTTATAACTGAGTTACAAATGTTGTTGTAATTAAAACCTTTGTTGAAATATATTTACTTTTTTTTGTTCCTTTTCGGGTTTTTTTTGTATCGGTAACCAGGCTCCAACAAGCAGGGTCTGTTATTGTTGGCAAATCACTGCATTTGCAGTCCCTTCTCCCTTTCCAGACTGCCCGAAAAGTGTTATCAGCAAGAAGACAATTGCTTGTTTCTGTTTTTGTAGAGCACACTGTTCAAGGTGCTGAACTGCGTGGAACATTTTAAACAGTTTCCGCCCACCTCCTTTCCTACCTCCCCCTTTCCCCCTCACCACCATCACCATCAATTTTTCCTCTTCCATCTCCCTCGATCCAATCCTCCCCACCCTTCTACCCTCCTCCCCACCCCCAAGGCAGACCTTCGGAGAGGCTAACTGTGACAGTGACACTTGGTACAGTGTATAACGTGTGCTCAATGGCTCCATGAAACACTTTTGACGCTATTTAAATGCATCTGTGTGCTAAACTGTGTTCACATGTATCCACACGTCCACTGCATTGTCATGTATTGTGAAGGTTATACAAGCAGCGAGGCTCTGAGGGGCCCTGGTCTCGACTGTATATAGTGTACAGGTTTGAAATGGAAAATAATGAGCATCTGTTAATATAAAATGTCTTTATGATCCTAAATGGCAGTTTATCCAATCGACTACATTACCCCCCTCACCCCTTTGCCAGACCCGCCCGAACAAGAAGACATCTGTGATTGTTTATTACTTGAACTAGTTCTTACAGTTTTAAATGTTTACAGTTACCAGATTTAGGAAGAACTTACGCAGTTGCCTGGTTACTTGTTTTATGCTGTAATCTAGTTTATTTTATGTAAAGTGTATATTGAATGCTTTCTTTTTTTACACTTGCCTTAAATAATTCGGCAATCAGAATTACTGTAATAAAAAAAAAGTTGTTTTTGTACATCTGTTGTTGATGAGTTTTATAGTTTGCCAATATCCTGGCTCTGAGGAGTTTGTGGATATGGATACGTATATATATTATGTACATGGCTGTTTGTGGGACACTGCTGTGCACAATTGACTGCATTGTTTCGCCCACAAAATACAGTCAATTCACTTAATAATATATTCTGTGAAATGGTTTGAGACGCCTCAATGACCTGATAAAGCACTATATCAAATGCAAGGATTACTATGATATGGGGGTCCATCTGTAGGTGTGCAATAATCCGTGGTACTTTTAATGATTGACCAGCCTGTGTGGCTCATCAATGTGACTTGTGACTTGGAAATGCAGATGTGACCTCAGTCTTATAAACCATGGCACATAGCGGGTAGAGCACCTTTGTTTCTAGCTGGCAAAGTGCTGTGAAACTTACCAGTGATTTGCACTGTACGCTGCATGTTTATCATTAACAAACACAGTTTTGTGTCATTGGGTTGCCTTTCCTGCTCTGTAGTAATCAGTTCTCTGGACTTTAGTTCAGATGACCGCTGAAAGAATCCTATCTGCTATTGGTGTTCACCTGGAACTGATTTACCCTTGAACCTGGTTTAAACTCAGATCTGGTTTACATTGAGACGTGGAGTGCTTCAAAACATTTACTGTTGCTTTCTGGCAGCTTCAAATCCAGTGGGCCACTGCCCTGCCCTGAATGGAAGCAGTACTGTGGTGTTGGCTTGTCACATCAGTGTCTGTCTCTTGTTATCTGGAGACAGGTTGTGTGCAGGTCACCAAAGGGTGGACTGCGGTGTCACTTGGGCCCTTGTTTACACTGCGCTGATGCTAATGTCATACCCTTGGGTGCAGGTGCTGAGAAGCTCATAGTAACACAGCACCAGTGCAAGGAGTGTGCTACTAAATGGATGCCATGGAAACGGCACTGTCGAGCAAAGCATCGGACGTCTGCTGTAACTTTTTTACAATATTAAAAAAATGACACGCTGCTGATTTAACCTGTGGTCAAAGAGAAAGCTAAACTAATTGCATTTACAGCAATCGATGCAACATTATTGTCTAAAGCCTGCATCAGTTCAAATGCTCAGTGCCATTCCTTCTGATGTATCATGTAAATTGGAAGGAAGCCTGACAAGAGATCTCAGCATTGATTTTTGTTAATTATCTTTGCTCGGTTAAACCTTACACTGCTGTGTTATTTATATATGCAGAACTGCAGCCACAGTTAAATACATCATCAATTACCTCTGTCTGGAATTGCTGACAATAACAGTGCTGTTCGTTTTAAATTAAGACTTTGTTGAGGCTTTCAGCATTGCATCATGTCGCCACCTAATTCTTCATGTAAGACATCCTGGAAGATTAAATTTAACAGCATTGGCCAACGTCTCATTGAAGTCCACATACAACACCAACCATTTACTTTCCTTTTGTACTGCTTTTTGTGGCAATTTTAAACACAGCACTGTACTCTCCCCATATCTCACTCTACCAACTGCCACGTCCTATCGCCCATTCCCCCCGCCACCCCATGTAACTTCTGTGGGAAAAATCCTGTCAATCATCCCGTGCAATTTAGCCACAGTGCAACAAGCAGAGTGCTCAGTAAATGATTTATTGTTCTACCATTGATTGCAGCACTTTGTGAACGTTGTTTAAAAAAAGGAAGTTCTGTCACAGAAAAATAAAGTGGTGAATCTGTGGGCTGAGGATAAGATGAACAGATTCCTTGCTGACCCCACACTTTCTTCACTTTCATTGACTGCTTGGTTTGTACATGCAAAATTTCCTTTAAACATTAACAATCCCTTAAACACATTGTGAAGGAGAAACTTTCAGTTGGAGTCCAGCCATTAAAAGAACGACATGCTTCTATGATGGTGTAAGACAGATCTGTGCTTAAAGTTTCTGCTTATATCCTGTCTACTTGCTAAAGATAGAACAAGGCCATTCAGTTAGGAAAGTCGCAGGCTTAAATACTGGGCTCCACTCAGCTATCTGACCTCAGCTGGACAGCAGGATATTATCATTGACCTCAGCGCTTCTGGGTTACTGAAAGAAAAATCACCCAGGCTTACTGCTACAGAGACTACTTGTCTGGAGATACAAATGTGAGGACAGGATTGGGCTTGACTGTCATACCCAATTGACTTGACACTCTACTAGAATGCCAACATCCTCATTGTCAAGGCTCACACATGAATAATGGTCAATTGGGCAAAGTACCAAAGCACGTCTCACGCCCATGGAATTGTAATCCAACAGAGTTAAATATAAGTCAAATATTTAGAATGTTCGGACACGTGGAAAAGCAAATGTTAGCACGTTATTTGGTGATGAGAGCAGAACCAGAGTATATTACTTTTTAAAATTCAATTCTTAAAGAAGGTTAGAGCTTAGAAACAAATGTTTTCCTCCGTAGAGTGGTAGATATAGAACTAACTCCCAATAAAAGTACTTGGGGCAGAAATTCCACCTGGATCTAGATTTACTCAATTTGTGTAGCATTTC